CATGAGAGATGGTGCGCGACGCCATGGGCGTGGTGCAATTTGGTGCATGCTCCTCGCCTGCGGTGTGGGATGCTTTGTTGCACCGCCACGTGTTGGGTTGTACCAAGTGAGCCCGCAACGATGCCGAGCATGCCTCCGCGTGTCGCTGAAGAATGTGAGCTTCTGTGAAGTTGCCGCCACAATAGCCAATGCAGCCAATAGTACGACAGGTTCATACCTCAAAGAGGTCAACCGTATAGCCACAGCGTTTCTGCAGAGAAGAGATGCAGTAGATCGCGATGATGCCATTGCCAACCTCTGCGAACAGATGCAAATAAAAGGTAGACTTTGTCTGGTGCTTGGGGGTAAAAACTTGGGCAAGACATTGCTCAAGGAAAAGGCTATTGCTAGATGCAAGGCAAAAGCGAACATCCTTTCAGTCAACATGCGGGAGGCAGACATGTCTGGCAAGGATCTGATGACAGCACTCAACTTGCAACGTCAGAAATCCCTTGGGTGGACACGTCTCTTGGTGGAGATGTTGGGCGAAGTCATCCGATTCCCTGTGGACTACGTCCTGAAGAGGACTAGTGGATTCAGTGAGGCTGGAGCGGCGGCTAAGGAAGTGTTAGGTGTCGCAATATCATATCATCAAATCAGCATCGACAACTTTATCTCCCGAAGCAGGAAGAAGATCCCGAGCATCATCATCGATGAAGCAAACGCGGCACTACCTGGAATGAATGCTGGAGATGGAAGCGTTGCAGCTAGATCAGCTCTGCGAGCCATCACGAGGTGGACCAAGGAGACAAGTCAAGCAAGTGTGATCATGGTATCCTCAGATCTTGGCTATCCTTTTCGTCTGCAAGCAAACGGCTTAGACTTGAGCACCATTGGACGAGTCATTGTCATTGGGGAAGTACCAGAGGTTGACATGCTAAAGATGTTGAAAGATGATTGGGGCATGGACAAAGACTTGGCAGAGATGTTCTACAACTACTTTGGCGGCGACATTTACACCACCAAGCAGGCTTTGGAGAGCCTCGTAGAGAAGAAGGATAACTTCGACCCCTTTGCAGTTATGCAATGTCCCGGGCTGCCTTCGTGTCTGGAAAATGCATGGGCGAGGGCTCACCTCGAGAACATCGCCAAGCAAGGCTTCTCTTTGGTGAAGAATGTGGAGACAGACGAAGGTGCAAAAATGATTGCGGAGAAGAACCTGGGCGGGGTCATCAACAAGGATGCCAACACCTTCGGTTGACCCACCATCTTCACTGGCACAAACAAAAAATGGGCTGTCATCCCATCGTCCTACCACATGAAGCTGCTGATTGCCCATGAGCTCCAGAACATTCCCTTGCCAACATCAGGACGGTGTTTCACAAACCGTGCTAACATCTAGGCTCTTTTGCTTTTTTTGTTGTTCTGTTTGCTTACACTGTTCCAAAAGGAGGTTAAACTTGTTGAGATTTATATAGGTGCACAATCATGAGGTTGATAGATAAAGCGATACAAGCATCCATACCTCCTCCCTGCAAGGTGGCACTGCGACTGCACCACCAGCTGTTTGGGTGAGACAAATCCACAAGGACTGCAGAGAAGTGCAATGACTGTTTGACTGTGTAAAAAAGGGTTTTGTTTCAGCAAAGTCGTTGCTCTGCAGGTTTGGGGAGAAGTCTTTCCATCACCCACCTCAAAGTCAAAAGCCTTCCACTCTTAGGATGCTATTCGTGTTTCGTCTTGATTTCTTGGGCTTAATTTTGTGCTCAGTCAATGAAATTGCGAAAAGGAATGGGTTTGTTTAATCTCGGACTGCCCCCACACATCAGGCACCTCTGGATGCAAGAAGCCATGGTATTTCTTGTCATGCCAGTTGTTCCTTTATCAGCCGTTTTTGGTCATTGACCCTAACGATGTCAAACAATCTCCACCCTAACATCCTTGTCTAGTTGTGGCTAAGAATGAATGGTCTGCCCTTGTTCCTTTGCTGTGCCCTTGTGTCAGGTGTAGGAAGAACTTTTATTATCGAAAAGCCATGCCCCAAACTAAAAGCGTGATTAAGGGTAAGTCCACTGTGCAAGAAAATACACTGTCATGCTACGAACTTGGTATGGTTCAGGACTTTTGGGGACAAGATTGCAGGGTTGTTCATTTTTCAGGATTTGTTGAACGATATCTTCCCAACATTTGCCTTAAATTGGTAGAGAGGATTTAGACCTTGTTCCTTTGCCATGTCCTTTTGACTGTTCCCACCTCAACATCTCGCCTTTTGAGTGGTACAGCAAGTGTTGAACAAGCAGCCTTGTCATCCCTATATATTTTCCTTTCATGTGTTGCTTTGCATGGTTCGTGTGCTAAAACCGGTGTTGATTGGGAGTGTGAAAAAAAGTGGGGTTGTGCTCCATCATTTCTCCCACTCAAGCGTCAAAAGCATTGTTATTTGCAAGAGCCGCTGCAACAGTTGATGCCATTGTTCCCTTCGAAGGTCCTCTGACTAGTGTTAAGTTAAAATACAAGTGGCTTGTTCAGCCGAAACTTCATCGAGAGATTTCCCACTGCCATGTTGCCATGTTTCCAAAGGTTTTGCATGGTGCGTTGCATTGCTTGTCATGTGTGTTAAGTGTTTGCTATGTGTTTTTTTGGAGCACGGCCGGACATTGGTTGAAAGGGTGGCGCTGGAATCAAGATATCTTTCAAACGTCTCCCTCAATTTGATAGAGAGGATTTCGACGAAAGACTTGGCATGTTTTCTGGAATGCCCCTGTTTCTTTCCCATGTTCATTTTGACTCTTCCTACTTAACATCTCATCTTTTGAGAAATACTGCAAGTGTTGAACGAGCGGCTTTGTCGTCCCTATATGTTCCTTTCATGTGTTCCTTTTTGTGGTTCTTGTGCTAAAAGCCAGTGTTAATTGTTCATGTTAACACAGGTAGGGCTGTGTTCCATCATTTCTCCCACTCGAGCATCAAAGGCTCTGTAATTTGCAAAAGTCAATGGAACAGTTTATGTCTTTGTCCCTTTTCGTTTTGACTAGTGTTAGGTTAAGATTTAAGTGGTTTGTTCAGCCAAAACTTTATCAAGAGATTTCCTTCAGCCATGCGTTCATGTCTTCCTCGCCAGTCAAGAGATTGGTTGCGGGCAAGCGGCTTGTGCAACACGGGTTTGGGTTTGAATGTCTTGGCTGTTGACCTTGCAGGACGGCAAAGGTGGCTTCGATTTCGTTGGCAATCCCTTCAAAATCACTGGAGCAGTTGGTGACGTTGATGATCTGAAAAAAGTGCTGAACTCAAACAGAATTTTGTTCTTTTTGCTTTGGAACATTTTCAGAAGAGACGTGACAAAGATTGAGCACAGCAAACATTTTTGCAATCCGTGCTGTAAGTTCATGGTTTGCATTCATGTCCAATACTGTGCCGTAACGTTCAAACTTGGTGCTTTGACTAAGCCAATTTAGCGTTTGGGTTTGCTTCCAATGCGCGAGGCAATCAAGAAGGAGAAACCCAACAAGGTGTCGTGCGATGCAGATGAGCTGGACATCTACAGCCTGCAGGACAGCTTGGCTGTTTTCTTCCAGTATCCACCGCACTATCTAACCTGACCTTTCGAAACAGTGCTTCAAGTTGTCGTTTGAGTATTGTGGTATGCCAGTTTGCTCATCGTGCATTTGCAGGATGGAAATTGGACTAGGGAAGAAAAGATGTCGGCAAGCCTTCGCGACACGGATGAGCCCATCACTTGGTGTTTCGTTTTGAGCAACTTTTGACAATGCTTCGGTTCAGATTGATGTATTTGTTTGCAACTTTTTGATGTATTTTTGTTGCCGCCTCTGAGCATTCAGGTCAGACTGCTATGGTTTCACGATACCATCAGCGTGAGTGTGAGTCTCAGCTTTCGTGGCAACCTGCAGTGGCTTGACGGTAATGGAGTTCCGTGGTCACAGGGACGAATTTTGGCTCTCATGAGGGTCTGTTTGTTGCTCTGTCGGCTGATGCTGTCGAAATCCAATGAGAGCACGAATGTGGGCGTGTATGTAGTCTATTAAAGTTTCACTTCGTATCACAAAATCAGCACAGTTGGTTCGTTGTGGTATGACCTTGCCATGCGTCAATGATAGAGTATGCGTTGCACGTGGACAATTCCAACTTGGACTGAAGGGTTGACTTTTCCTGACAGTCAGGTCATGCACGCAACGGGTGGAGGAGCAATGACCCAAGAGCTGGTCATAGCATGTTTCATTCAGGCGTTGCACATAGCGCCCAAGCACAGACCAAGCAACATACAGTTCCCTGAGAAAAAGACTTGTGCTTGATTTTGGACAGGCTTTCCTGGCAGTCGGGGCTTTGAATGGAAAACTAGTAGAAATTTTTAAGGAAAATCGGTGGAAAACTAGTGGACAAAGTTTTGGCAACTAAGGGTGCCTTTTCAACATGCTAAACTCCTTGCAGTCACGAAAAGCATGCCACCGACTTCTATGAGACGGAGTAGAGATATTATACACAAAACCCCCATCGGGCAAAAAGTGCTTAAGTTCACCATCAAAAAATATGGAGTTTATCCGTTTATCCTTTTTACTGTTCGTGTTTTATCCTTTTTATGTTGGAGGGTTGCTACAGACCTAGAGAGTTCAAAGGGCGATCCGACCAGTTCGGACGATGGCTCCACTAGGTCTAGCATGGTCCAGCCATTAAGGGACTCTTCTTGACTTATTCTCCGGACTTTCTTGGTTGCCATCATCCAAAATCATGACCTTTCTATCTGTTTTTTGGGGGTGCTGTAGTGAACCAACCAATCAGCTCATAGGATTCCGCTTTCCACGCATTCAGATGCGAAGAAAAACAGCTGGGTTTCCCTTGGAATCTAGATTTATGCTGGGTTTTTGCTGATGATATGATATTTAAATATTGAACATTATATATATATATGTATATGGTTTTCGCGTCATGGTAAGTCCCAATTTTGGGTTGGTTCAATCCCATGACAACACGCCATTCGCAACGGGCCAACGGGTGGTCAACACGAGGCCGGGTTTGTGCTGACACCTGGGAGACGCTTGGAGCGCTCAGAGTACTTCAAGAGAAGACGGTGCCGGGACGGCGAGAGTTTGGGGGGGAGTAGTGCCTGCTGAAACTGGTGAACTGTCCATTTTTCTGATGCTTCTGTATGGTTGTAGCTGGGTTACAGATGGTTACAGATCAACAATGATCAACATGGTTTGGAAGTTGAAACCCCAAAACATGTTGTTTGTTGTGTTTGAACAACTTGGGTATTGGTTGACATGAAAGCGTTTAGGTAGCTAGGGTCCATTTGTTAATTTGGACATTATTTACAAACACACTGTCATTGGATTGAGTTGTGACCTGTCAATCATGGATACCCAATGGAGTATGAACATTGATTTGCAAACGACATATCTACTTCAGCAGTCTGAAAGTTTCCGGATGGGGCGCTCAAAATCAGTGTTTCGAAATAAGTTCCATCCCCGGTACTTAATGACCATTACAAATATTTGATAGACTTAGGGCATAAGCACCATTAGAATTGCAATAGTTCTTGATTTCTGGCCTTGTTGTTTGCAGCCCTGACCCTCGCCTTTAGGCGTTGGCCTCGAAAATCTGCGTGGCGTGGCACATGCCGCCCTTTGGATTTCGTGAAAGGAGCTGCAGCGCAGCGACTGCCATAAGTCGAATGTCTAGTCATGTTTATTAATTATGCACCCGGATAGTAGTTGATGGTTTACATTTAATGATCTTGATTATCACGAAGAAAAATACGTTCCAAGGTGGCTCAAATGAATGTCAACCAGTTGAGAAGGGGATCCTTTGAATAAATCATGATAAAGTTCCTTGAATGGCTATGTGATGGTACGGGTTTAAATGTTCCATTATACCAAATTATACCGTCTGCTACTCAAACATGGCTTGCTGGAAGATGCCCCATTGTGTTCGGGGATTTTCCCAGCCCAACGACCTGATCTCACGGGTTTGATCTTCAGCCCAACTCTGGCTGCAGAGTCGTGGGGAAAGCACCGCCATCTGCCGTGACACCGCGGAGTGCGCCGAGTTTCTGCCACTGAGCATCTTTCAGCGCTAGGGGAAGTGGTTCATTTCCATGGCTGGCTGGGAAATCCACTATAAATGGAGCTTTTAATGGGAAAATCACATGTAAATGGGATGTTCAATTGCCACGTTTGATTGCCGAAGGGTAATTTGGACAATACCAGCGATAGTGGGAGATTGTGATGATCAGAGCAGGGCAGATGAATTGCTAATCTTCCAAGCTCCAGTTGGACCGGGTTTCACGCTTGGACCTTTCAACTTGGATATGAAGTTGAAGTTGCATGTGTCCTGTCACCCCCTGTAAGATAACCCCCCCTAAATAAGGGTTTATCAAGGGCAAGGCAAGGGATTATTGACCACCATAGGAACAGGAGCTTGCTATCTTGGAGTCACCGGGCCGGGGCTGTTTGAATCCTCATGAAGCCATGCCGGTGCCCCAAGGGTCCCAAGGGTCCCCACTTGTGCCAACTATGTCCTGTGAATCATCTTATAATCATTGGCATTTTCTGGGCTCGTGCTTGGAAGAAAGAATTTAGAGTATGTTAGATTCCACTTTGTATAGTGTTGTCTATTGATGAGTGCTGTCCTGCAAATATAATCCATTGTTGGCTCCCAACCCAAATGGTCGAGTCTAGATTTAACACGTGTTTGCGAATCCATTTTCCGCCATCATCATATATTGAATGTACAGCAGTTTTTGTTCAATGTCCCTGTTTTTGGTCATCACCATTTTTCCACGTAATTATGATATTATATGATATTATATGACATTATAAAAGTTTGACGATTATAAATTATATGTCATTATCCATGTTTCCACACATCATAGGTTTGACAAGTCAACAGACATCCCAACTCACGTCTTCCCCAGCTCCGAGGACGGACCTACAGCATAGCAGCGACCTGGAGGAAGTCGACTTGGACTTGGTCCTGCCCAATTGGAATGAAGGCCCCAGATCTGGTGCTCGGGTGGTACCGGGATCGGCCCCAGGGTGTGGATTCACATGGTATTGGGTTGAGAAAACTAGGTATAACAAAAGTATAAAATACGCAAATATCATCAGTTATAACTATAGGTTTCGATTGGGATTAATACAGTAAACCAACTGACTTATAACTAGGGGGGGCCCCTCCCGTGGAGGTCGGAGGTGTTCTGGATGGCAAATCGCTGTAGCTGTGAATATCTGAAGTAACTGGTAATTAGTGTATCTATATAACTAAATATGGATCCGTTCGTTCCAAAGTTAGAAGTGGCATCATCATCCCATTTGCACTAGGTAGTTGTTGACCATTCAACAGGAGATGAAGCAGGAAATATGCTTGTGCTTCTTTGAAATTGAGCTTCGTTGCGCATCCTGAATTTGCCAACGCCCAGGAGGGTATTATGTAAGGGAAGGGATTACTTTCCCCAAATCTTTTCCAGGACTGGGGTCAAGTCCAAAGGACCTTTTACCAGCATGTTTGAGATACCCTCTGGTTATTTAACATAGCCATGGAAAATGGCCCATCTATACATGGTTTACCTATTTAAAATGGTGATTTTCCATGGCTATGTTAAATAACCAGATGGTATTTGCCATGATTTGCCATGATTTGCCATGATTTGCCATGATTCATTCTTCGGTCTTCTGCTGTTGATACCCCAAACACTTTCTCGGAAGAGCTTCAGAAGGTATATGGAAACATGATTTTGATGGTCAACTCATTGGCGAAGTTTGTATTTTGGTTGTTGAATCATGTTGAATCAGTATCCAGACCTGAAATCGGGGGAAATCCCCCATTTCAATCCAGTTTACGCTCGAATCTCTCAAAAATCCAAGTGTTTTGTTCATGTAAACCTGCTGAAAGCTGATAATTTTCTACATATAGAAATCATGTTATAATAGTCAAATTTCGTAGAATTCCCAACTGTTGCCGATTTTTTGCGATGAAAAAAACAGGTTGTTGGGGCAGCTGTCTCTGCGGTGGAAGGTCCTGGCCCTGGGTAGGAGGGATGTGTAGGAACGTCATGCGGTACAAGAAAGCATACGGCTGGATGCATAGGGAATGAGATATTTCACAATATTTAACATAATTCCATTTAAGATAATATATATATATATATGGTATCATATAACCTTTAATTTTTTCACAATTCCATATTATATATATATAATCAAAACTACATATTAGGTATATATCATACAACATTGCGCCCCAGTAGCTTGGGCATCAATCTAGAATCTGCAAACTTGGGCATGGGCATCGTGGTGCATAGCCATTTATGACCTAGCGGTAGCTGGGTGTTCTTCATCCCTTGGGAAGATGATCCTGAAGTGATAGACAAAACACATTTTCCTTCCGACTATTTAACATCGCTTATAAAGAAGCCACGCGCATTGATAGATGACTAGCACATGAAACACAGAAAAAAAAACTGTTGCTTTCCATAGCCATGTGAAGTTCCCAGAGAGAGAGAGAGAGAGTGACTGAAGCACCCGGCCATGGCCGCAGGGTTTGGCAGTCGGAAGAGGAAATGAGATCTTGGAAGGCGACGAGATGTCCCGAGGCAGGAAAGTCGCGAGAAAGGGAAAAGACCGCAGGTCATTTGATAAGATGTTTCCAATGTTGAATAGATATGTTAAATATAACTATTGAGAATAATGATTTGGACATAACATGAACTAACATGAAAGGACTGTTGCAAATTTGCATAGCTTTGTCTTTTGAGAAAATGTGTCCCAATAGTTATTTTTCTATATCATGAGAAGATGATAAGATTGGGAATGTTAACATTTTTAACATCAAAGAACCCTTAAAGATGGCTATTGTTATGTTTCATGGGTATGTTAAGATTGGGAGAAGATGAGAAGATTGGGAACATTTCAACATAGCTATGGAAAAAGTACACTCCTTAAGGAGAACATGTTTTTTAGTGTGCATTAGATTTTAAATACATATATATATATATATATATTTATATTTTTATATATTATGTAATTTTCTCCATAGCTGTGTTAAGTTTCCGGTATGATATTCCATCAGATCTGGCGTAGCATATTTTTAGACAAACCTTGTGTAGCATATATATATATACATACACCGTAGATACCCCACAAAGGTACAAGAAGTACCAGGAAAAGATATGAACGTTTCCAAAAATGGACACCCCCCAAATCATCCAAATTAGCAATTTTCGTACTAAAACCCATGGTTTTGGGGATCCCCCATTTTAGGAAACCTCCCCATTGATTGGGAACATGGGAACGGTGAATGGGGTGGTGGATGGGGCCTCCATCTGAAAAACGCTTCATCCTCATTTTTGGTATCACAACTTCATTGGTTCAACCTGAAAAATTGCCAAATCTTGGTTTCTTATGGTTTCTTATGGGTTGTTGTTGTTGTTGTTGTTGTTGTTGTTGTTGTTGTTTTTCAGATAGCATGTTTGCATTTGTGTTACCTGTTTTTTCTCCGTTGTTTCTCCTGGCGTTGTTTTTCCCAATGGATCTTGTTATCCCGTGAGCATGGCAGGTTTATGGTCGAGTTCTTGGGAAGATCCTTTCCGAGAGCCAAGGCCAGGGCAGGGACGATCTGGTTTGGAGGGAAATTTATAGGAAGATCATGGAAAATATCGGAAATCCTCTAGGAATGAAAAATAATGAAAGTCATTTGCTGTTTTTTGTTGGCAAAACAATTGAACTCAATGGGGATTTCTCCGGCAAGCCATGTTTGATCACTCTAAAGGGTAGTAGCAAATGACAAATGACAGTGCTCTTTGGGGGGCAGGGCACCCCGAATTCATTGACCCTTTTTGACGGGAAATCTGAACCAAAACAAGTGGACCAATTTGAAGAACAATTGGGGGCTCGCGAGAATCTCGTCGGTTTTCTTCGCATAAGCTATATAGACTATTGAAACTGGCGACTTTGGGGGCAGTGACAAGCATGCCCACGTATCATATACTTATGAAATATAGATCGCATCAGAAGATTGCCAAAAACATGGAGCTTCCGATGTTTCAGGGAGTTGCAGGCGTCACTCGATAATACCTCCCATCGGGCCCACCCCTTGTTTCTCGGGGCGTGTTCAACGACGGTATGAAATGGTGGGAACTTGCAGTGTTCCACTTGATTGAAAGTGGCTCATCACAGGATCATGGGAAGAACATACATCTTTGACCTACCAAAAAATGAAAGAGTATAGCACCCAAAAAAAAAACACAGTTTGAGTTTGAAATGACAATGTTTCATGTCTGGTTGGAGTTTTGACCATGGATTTTCCGACCACCTTGCAACCTTGCCACCCTTTTTGGAGGCGCCGCCGGTCGTGCGATCTTGGACTTTGTAAGTGGCAGTGGGCCATATCTGTTGAAACGACTGCACTACTAAGCCACGCCTGGAGTTGCTAAAGAATCTGAAAAGTTTAAGCCATGGCTGCCATGTTGCTTAATGTGTTGTAAAAAATGTTTGAGGATTTCTACAACTAGCCATTAGTTCAATACAGTTCAATATAGCCGTATAACTAAGCAACTGGAAAATTGTAGATGATTTTTGTTTCTTAACTTCTTAACATGTATATTTTGTCACGATGGGAGTCCACCGAGTTGATATTGTTTTGGGGCAGAAACCTCCAGAAGGGAGGAGGGACGAAGTGCGACACAAAATCCCGAGAATTCTCACATGGGGTTTTCCATAAATGGGGGAATCCCCAATAACTGGATGGTTTACAATGGACAATCCTATAAAAATGATTTAAAAGGTATGATTTAGGGGTCCCCCATGGTCCCCCCACTTTAGGAAACCTCCATTTTCTCTTCAAAGTCGGCTTACATAGGTTGGTGCCCAGAAGGAAAAGAATTATACAAATTATGACAAACGGAACCCTACCAAGAAAACGACGACATCACAAAAACGGTCAATAGTTTTCGCTTTACAAGTGGGCATAAAATAACGCAACAACTTTTTAAATCTTTGTAATATATAGTTAATTCTTGCCACTAGTTGTAAACGTTGTCCACATGCGGCCATGGCTATAGAGTCCTCACGGCGGTGCGACCAGTGCGCCAAGCTTGGAGGATGTCCAATTTCTTGGTGTCGAGACCTCCCAAATGGTGGAGGCAGAACCGGCTGGGGTAGAGCTCAGACGTGAACTGCGCGGCCTCAAATGAGGGCGCCTGATCTGCCAGTGCGATACGGAAGTCGAGGAAGTGGGGTTCAAGGGGCGAAAAAGGAAATATGTTTCAGCAACTGCATGGAACTGACATGATTAATCCCTTCCGCTCATATTAAACGCTCCAAATAGGTGCAATTCCCCTACTAAACCATCGTTTCTGGCGGGTGTTCAATATCAGGGGAAGGGATCAATTTTAAACAACGGAAGAGACAGAGGGAGCGAGAAAAATGAGAGAGGGAAAGAGAGACTGAGAGAGAAATGGGTGTTCCCCTTGAAACTGGGTTTATGTCGGCTGTGTGCCATTGCCATGTTGGATGGCCAGAGGATAGAGTCCGTTGGTCCTAGCAGGTGAAAAGTTGGTCAAGCCATCTTAGCCATCTTGAAGTTTACACTTCGATTGATGCTATAGATTCGTGCAGAACTGAAGATGAAAAGGACCTGCACATCTAGATCTAACCGCTTCGGGGAGGGACGTGACGGGACGTGTTGCCCTGGCGATCGCGACTGGGTTCCAGGGGATGCACAGAACTTGCCATTTGCAGCGTGCGAGAAAAGGCCCACGGGCAGGTCATGTTTCCGGATGTTCCCTGTGGATTTAATTCATGCCATAGTAAAATTAGATAATGATACTGATGCCCAATTCCCAACACATTTCCGAGATGTGAAACTTGGGGTCTGGGACTCAGAGATGGTGTTTTTTTCCTATTGCTGAGGCTTTAAAGATGTTTGTTCTGAGGTAAATACCCCATACCACATGTTTGGGAGTGTCAACCGATCGATGCCTCAAAGGGAGATGCTAGGACCTGCTAGGACCATTTGGTCATATTTAACAATATGCAGGTTTCTATATGTTTCCATAGCCATGGTGGTACCCAAATAGCTAGATGGTTGATTTCATGAAAAATCCCATTGAAATGGATGACTGGGGGTACCCCCATGACTTAGGAAACCTCCATATAACTGTGTATATATAGTATTGACTATTATTGTATTATTGTATAGTAACTATTAACTATTGACTATTTACAGAAACTATGAACATCTATGAAGCATGAAGAATCACACCATGGTCGGGAAAGTTCTCGATGAGCTTGACAGGATCCCCTTTTCTTATTGGAGTTGTACACGACGTTTTGCGGTGCTGTGCATAGAGATGGCAGATCATCCATCTGGGTAAATTTCATCACGACCTCCCTGCGACCGAACCCTGGAATCATGGTTTATGAAGGAAATCATCCCCAAATAGCCTTAATTCAGCTTAGTGAAATATTATAATTTACCCAGATCCATGGTTGGCATTTTTCCCATGATTTTCTCTGGCATTTTGTCCATTCGTCAGGCTGCACGGTGAAGACCGCCGTTGCTGTAGGGCCGTAGCGGCCAGAGATTCACCTTTTTCTCGTTTTATTCGGCAAAACATTGGGATTTTTAACCACCAGAAAATGAGGATTCAATGGAGAAAAAAAACATTGAGATTTGCATTGGATATGGTAAACCCCAAAATTGTAGATTATTTCCTTGGGAAACCATGAGTGTTCCATATCTATATCTTGATTTTAACTGGTGGGCAATACACTTCCTCACTTCATGACCATGGACGCTTCCGAAAATCCCGAGGGGGGCCCAAACGTTAGCAAACTGAACTTACGTATAACTAGTCTAACAATCAGATTTAGATTTGTGGTGGATATATAAATATATATATATATAATTGGGCATATAGCGAAAGAAATGAGGCACTTGCGGGTCCTTGCTCTTTATTTGTCATCATCCCATGCTACATCATTTGACTCAATTTTAATTGAAACATCTTGCCATGTTACTCAGATTTCTTTGAAATTACCTGTCACTTCTCCCCTGCCCGTTTCAAAGAAGCGGAACTTTGCCATGGCACTAACGTGTTAGCTCGGCCATGGCATGGCCAAGCTGGTGTGCCTCTGACAGTTTGCGAACTGGAAAACCCACAGCTTTAATAGCTACATCTCTGAAGTAAATGGGCAATTTTCAATATGGCTATGTTACAGTACTGGAGGATAATCCAGAGATTTGGGTTTGTTTAAAACGATGAGTCATTGGTTCTTGTCCTGCCATTCAGCGTGTTGATGATCCCTGGAGTCAAAATGATGACCTCTTCAGCCCAACTTCTTGTTTAATTTATGGTTTCCAGGCAACCTCTGCTTTTTTCAAAGTACATACATGTTTACAGGTTTTTGGTTCTCTTGGTAGTGTTGCATCTATTCATGAATTAGGGTTCCAAGAATTGGGTGTTATTGAACATGATTGGGGGATCGTATTAAATGGCAAGCCAGTGGGAAACCCCAGAAATGGTGCTGCTTGAAAAGTCAACAAAGATATGGGAATATAACATAATATAACCAACTCAAAAGCAGTGATATGAGTGATATGATTCAATCTGATTGGTGATTCAAAGAACTTCATCGGTGCATCCTTCTTGATGTATAGAATCAACTAAGATTTGTCGAAGTGACTGAAACCACAGGCCAAGATTGATGAACTAGCTCCAGTACCTTGCTTTGGTTCGTGTTTTTGTTTGAAATGTTGCTATTCACAAGGTGTCAAGATGATTTCTCACTACAACAGATTTGGCAATTTCAATGCAAGGAACGTTCATTGATACTCGAGTGCTTTCAAAATTTGCCATTTCTACATACTGATACCCAAAACTGAGTGTGGTCATTGACTGTCATTGACTTTCTTACTGCAGAAACGCAGTGCTGGGTTGCGCACACGTTCCGGTGCAAGAGTGCGTTCAGAGCTGGCGAACGCATCGCTTCTGGGTTGTGATATGCTTGATGGATGGTGCGAATTCAGAGCAGATTTGGGCAATTGCCATATGTTATTCCAACTGCCGACATTTTTGGGAACATGACAGACATGCCGTGGTTTCCGAGACATGTCAGACTTCAAATCCTGTGACCTGGTGAACGGGAGCGATTTGGAGCGATGAATAGAGTTTCCCCACCATGCGATAAAGACATGTAAATAAGCGATCTTAATGGCAGTTCATCTTCTCCTTGGTATTATTTGCATTTTTCCACATATATATATATATTTATTTATATATATACGGTACAATTATATATAATTAATTAATTAATTATATATATATATATATATTTACCCTTCTCCACCGTATTATTTGTAATCCTTTTCCACATATTAGTATATATATATAGTATGAGGAGATCCCTAAAGACCATCGTTTAGTACTGGATCTATTCATGGATTGAGGCCCCTTTATAATATAGAATTGGAATATAGAATTCGACAAGTGGCCTATGACCGGGATATAACTGGAAATGTGGATTGTCTAAAGGGATGATTTTTTTGTTTGGAGAATCAAAAGGCAGTTGATATTACAAGGTGGTGTCCCCCAGCTACAATTTGGTTTGCAAACCCTTTTCGACTGTAGATATATGTGCCATAAACTTCACAGTTCTGCTATAAATCAACTTATCATAACTTATCTATTGCTTATCTATCATAATAAATCCCCTATAAATCCCCAATCCCCATGATTTCCGGTTTTGTTTTTATGGTTTTCCCTATGGTGGCACCACTGTTTTTCGATGGAACGACACGCCGCTCGCCTCTCGAGACGAGGCAAAAACGACGTGTCGAGTTGCCAGCGGCGCTCCATGCCAGTTGGCTTTCATGGTCGTGGTTGGAGAAGACTTGTTCAACTGTCATCAACATGGATTTTCAAATGGATCTTGGTCTTGGGCCAAAAGCATTTGATTCGAGGTCCCAATTTTGGCTAGCGTTATATTCCTTTGATATGGTGTATGTTGACTTCTTGGTGGCGTTACTGGTATTTGTATTGCTGTGCAAGGACCCCTGAAGTCTTGATCCCAAATCTAATGCAAGCAGAAAGATTGCTCGTTGTAGATCTCCCTGTCAAAAAAATGGAGGTCGACTTCTGCAAGTTTCAATTGAAAACTTCCTAAATCCTATGGTTTGCTGAACCCTGTGTAGATCTCAGCCTATGATATTATTCAGCAGGTAGACATCTACAACACATCCCTTTTCCCTAGGAATCTCTACAAAATTCATGTGAAAGGCTTAAATCTGGGACTTCCAAATTCTAATGGTTGACATCTACCAAGTAGAGCATTTAAATCAACTATTTTACTTGCTACTTGATTTGTGGTGTGCAGATGGAACTCCAACATGACCTGATTTAGGTAACTTTGGCCGAAACTTGTAGATCACTCCCCCCAAATCAAGTGTCAAGAAAAAATGTCGGTTTGTTTTCCATCATGCCACAGCAATAGGATTAGCGGGATGAGGGCTGGGGGCTGGATGGCCCGTGGGAGAACTTAGGGAATAGTTAAATGGGATTATGATTTCCTGGAAATAACCATCCCAAATCATTTGCATCTCACCCCAAACCTATACCAATCCTGAATTTAGTGAATGCTTATGGATTTAAATAAGTTTACTGTAAATGATTTGAATGGATTTTAATCTCATTTTCATGGGTTCGAATGATTTGAACATGTGGATTTTTGGTTAGCTCAACATATGGATTTCAATGGGATTTTGAAGTATCCCAAAACAAGGATGTTCAACGGAGCGGTGAGCTGGGCATCCCGATCTTTGGTCAGCATGGCTATTGATTTGATTCGAAATTGTTATAGGTAAATTAATGCGAATTATCTATAAAGCTCAAGTGTTAAAGTGCCCATATGTTAATGTGAAGTATCTATAAAGCTTCCAATTTTCCATATGTTAAGTGCCCATAAGTATCCAACATAGTGTGGTAAAACCAATGAACTAACGATCCTCACTATTTCCAGACACAGGTATAGTATGACTGTTTATTCTTGGGTTTACCACATTAGGGCCTCAGGGATGTCGAAATTTAAGTATCCAACATATTGATGCTGAGGGTTTTTTGACTTTAAAATAGAAATGCCAATGCATTTGAACAATCCAGAACAGTGATTTTCTCAGATGTATCCATAGATTAATCCAACCAGACATATTCAGCCACAGATGAGGATTTGGAAGTTATACACGTAAAAATTATCATGGAACTTCCATTCATCGGGGTTCTGGAAATGATTTCCTTCACTTCGATCTATATATTTAAATCTATCGTTTGGGTTAACAATGTGAAATTGAGATAAATTGAAGGGCATACCTTGAGCCACACTAATCATACAAGGAACCCGCAAGATAATAAGATAGCCATAGGAATGGGTAGAAGTAGCAAAGATGTTAGGCAAAGCAGGTCCATTCAACTATTTATATTTGAATTTACGTGTCTAGGTTTAGAATCCGACATTTTTAAAGATAATCCCCGAAGTTTAGGTGCGCGAGTTTTAACCATAAAAAGGCCATGTCCCAGCACCATGGTGAAATCTTGTTTAGGCGACTTCAAACTCAGGTGATCAACATGTTGTTTTTCCAAAATAAATGGATAGTGGAAAATGGTTTGGCAATGGTTTGGGTTGCGGAAGCAGCTCTAAAGTGAAACATAGAGGTCCAGGTGTTTTATTTTGTGTTCGGGCGTCGTCCTCAACCATGTCAACGAGTCAACGATTATATACCTTTAACAATCCCTTTAGAGCCCATTTGTTTCGCTCCTAGAAAAAGATCACGTGGCTTGTGGTTCCAGTTTTTTTGTCATGTTCAAACAGGGGTCGCTCAGGATGCCTTCCAAGACATTGACGGCCGGGGTCCCCGGGGTCCCTGGTACATGGCGACAACTAGTTGCGAAGGGCAACTTGAACGGTGCAATTCCCATGGAGAGTCAAGGAGCTGAGCCCGAGAACCACAAATTGCCAGGACCCCAAACCAGACATGAAGAATTTGTTTTACCAATTAATTACCTCAGTCCGTCGAGATTTTTTTGTAAAGACAACCCATGGAAAATCATGGATAACCCATGGTTTCCGAAACAGATCTACAAAAATGGCAGGTCTTTCCATCTCGCCCACCTGAAATCACCTGAATTTTGAAAAAACAACATGTTTCCCATGGTTTTCCAAGGCGTTTCCATGGAAAAAACCCAGGGACACCACCATGTGACCCCAGGCGATGCCATTGCCGTCTTGTTGGAGCAGCACCCGGAGTGGCGCAGCTCGGAGTTCACCTTCGAGGTCGGCTGCTGGAGATTTGATGAGATTTCTGGGATACTTCCCATTCCAATGGTTTATAGATAGTCTTATAAATGATTATGTAGTTTAATGATGAATGGTTGGTGGTTTGGAACATTATTTTTTTAAATGATTTTTTATTGTTCCATTATATTGGGAATAATATTTTAATATATAATCCCAACTGACTTTCATATTTTCAGAGGGGTTGAAACTACCAAACAGTTAATGTTTATTTAATCATTTCATCATCATCGTTCTTATATATTTAAAGAGTATAATGTTCTTATTCAAAATGGCCATCAACTGTATATATCATCATAATCATCATATATCTTTCCGAATTGTTTCTATGATTCCCCGATATTTCCAATACATCGCTCCTATATGTTCTATGGATCTGGATGCTCCCTGTCGCTGTTCCATGTTCATGTTATTGAAGTATCATCAGCATTTAGATTGACATGGTTTTGTGTTTCCAACTCAAACGGCTGTTCAGAAGGATTGAAACTACCAGCAAGGTCGTGTTTAGTTGGTAAATTTCGTTTCTGTACGCCATGATAGCATTGTTTTTTGCTGTTTTCTCTCTTTTTTCTTCCCTGAGAAATTGAGGGACGAATGTGCTACGCTCAGTTCTCGGACGGAAATTTGGGTGAAAGATGGTGCTGTTGGCGTTGGTTCGCATGCTGCTGGCTGAAGCCTCTTTTGTGATCTTTTTGTTGGTTGCAGAAACATGTCATGGCAATGGGAAATCCCTGTAAATAGGCATTTGCATTTTATTTGTAAATAGTTTCAATGGGAACATGGGGCATGTTCCACTGCCATGTTTGATCACCAAAGTATAGAGTAGAGCTTGATGTTGTTTCTTCAACCCATTCTGTTGCTGCAAAAAACTCTTTGAAACTCCATAGGTGATATCCGAGAACAACGTTCAGATTCCCCAAGGGTGGGCTACATTTGCATAGCAGTCAGCTCGCGGGGGGCAAAATGACAGGATGGAGACCACGTAGAAATCTCAGAGGGGAGCGGCAAACCTGGGCATTGTATCAGCAAAAATGGGGATTCACCATCAACAAGGGACATTTTTTTACATTGACACTTGCTGGTTGATGGATTTGATGGTTTGTGCGATTTGTATTTTCATCGGTAAAGATGTTACGTAAAAGATATTGAAAGGCTGCGACGATGATCTCCAATTTGCTCAGGCGTTTTTTGTTCTTTCCGGGGCGGGCTGTGTTCCAAAGGGGGGCCCATCTTGCCTCTTCCACCTTTTCGTGCACAGTGCGCTACTACATCCATTGGCGCAGCTCCTCCAGTGTCCATGAACCTATAGTTTTCTACATGTCTTGATTGATAGTACGCAGTGAGCACCTCTCTGAGAGTCTCATAGGCGTCCGTTGTCCTCACATTCAGTCTCAGGTGTTGTTGCAGTGCTCCGGTTGTCTTGTTGAGCAGTGTCGCTACTAGGATGTTATCGGGCAGTGGTGCTCCGGCTTGTCTTGCACACCTAGCCTTCAGTGTTTCCCATTCACTGTAGTCTTGTTCAAAGTGGTCGGGGCGAAACCTGAATTCCAGTACCTTTGTTAGTAAACCATAGTAAACCGATATCCAGTGCAGTTCGTGGTAGTGAAAAACTTCGACTCAGTAAGCGCCATGTCTCAAAACCATTCAGTTCAACATTTCCTCTTACTACCAGTCTGGCACTTTCAGTAGTCAGTTGGGCTAGCAAGTAGTGCAGTTGACGGCTAAATCGAATTAAGCCAGTGTCAAAGACTTGTGGATTCTCAGCTTCCAGTGCCCCGAGTCTCTCATCAGTGATGACTGTAGCAACAGTCTAAACATTCTCCATCACTTCCGCTGCTTTAGTCTTGAACAGTGCTACGTACGATTTCACAGACCAGCTCCAGTCTTCCAAGTGTTCCATCTTGCCAGAAAACTTGCCTGGCAGTGGGAGCTTGTTGTTTCCTCCAAGTGTGGTTCCATCTCCGAGTTGTGCCATGTCTTAGTTCTACTTCTCTACGGTCTCTACAGTTGTAGCAGGAATCAGTGCTCCGCTTCCATGCGAAGCTAGTGGATCTTTCTCCTACACAACCTACAGTGGTCAGTTTACACCAGTGGACTCAGCAGTCAGCTTACTTTTGCTCAGTGCGGCTTGAGCCTTGAGCCAACAGTCAGTGTTGGCAGTTTGTCAGTTGACATGAGCAGAGTGTGCAGTGAACAGTGTCATCTCAACAAACTTCCAGAAACCAACAGAAACAAATGGGCCCTTGGCCCCTTTCCTTCCGAATCCCAACACCTCAATTGTCTCAAAATTGGGGAGGGTACCTCAATTCATGGCCTTTGCAAAATCGCGACAACTAGATTTCCAAACCTGTGGATGGACGATCCAAGGCCAGTGGCAAACACATCACCGGCGGCCTGTTGTCTGCTGCGATGCGGCTGACCCCGCACCACATCAATGAGTTGTTAGAGGCGGGTAGCTGTCTTGCCGGTGCCGAGGCTGTTGCACTCCAACAGAATGGAGGTTAACAAAGGTTAACTTGAACAAAAAGAACTTGGAAGAGATATACCCTCCCCTAATCAAAGATGGCAATGGATAAAAATCCACCATGAATAGATGATGTTTCATTTAAACCTCCATTGGGATCCATTTGGTTCGGGGATTTCCCGGCTTGTCGCTTTTGCTTCCTGGAGTATAAGGAGTTCGTGCCAGCCATGGCCCCAGACTTCAGGTGTTGGTGGAAGATTGTGGCATTGCCTGCGCCAACGGGGTTCGGAAAGTGGTGGGCACCCCCAAAAATATCCAAAAATGCAATTGTCATCAATTGTCGTAAGGAAATTTTGAAACACATGATAAACTACCACGTTTTCCCAAAAATTGGTTTGGAATTATTTAGGTTCATTTTCAAATATGGATAAATGGGGTATCCCAAATCCATTGGTTTGTCGTCTCATTTTCCCTATTCGAATTACTATTTGGACGCATACCCTTATCAAACATACCCAAATTTCATATCTTCAATGGATTGGTTTAAGGGAAAATCTTAACCGGAAACCATCGTTGTTCCCATTAAATATGGGGTATTTTCCTGTAATTTTCCCCTTAAACCAGTCCATTGATATCTCACATGACATATGTCTCCCAGGATCCCATGAAATACCACCATCAAATTATCTAGATCAATATGGACGATTCCTAAAATGTGGTACCCCTAAATCATCCATTTGGGCCCCGGAGATTTTCCATTAAAGACCAACCAGCTATTGGGATACCCCCACTTATGGAAATCACCAATGAGATCTCTACTTGGTGGCTCATCCCACTTAGTAAGTGGGTTATAACCCCAATTATAAGTGGATTAACCCTACTTATCCCATTTATAACTGGGGTTATAACCCACTTACTAAGTGGGATGAGCCACCAAGTACCCTAAGCTCCTTCATGATGCAAGCGGCACCTGAATCGGCCGCACCAGGGCTTCGAGATACACACCAGTTTTTACGCTGGAAGCAGCCGCATCTTGGCATTCGCATTGGCAGATTGCTTCCCAAAAACGGCAGAAAAAACATTAATGTAGAAATAGAAACTCAAAAAGATATAGAACAATCAAATCCGAGTCAAAACTAGTGACGAATTACTTGGATAGATATACCTTTTTGGCTTTTTTGGGGCTTCTTTCAGGTTTTGACCATCAAGAACCAGTACATGTTCCCTTCGATTTTCCTTTTTCCTTCCACCATCACTGGAATATGGGAGAAATCAAGTGTTGTAAAGAAGGATAGTCCTATATTGTTTGGCCCCAAAGAGAGGCCTTGGCTTCAGTTATTCAGCCCTGGGGCCCTGGGAGGTTTTTCCCACATTGATGGTTGAGTTGATTCAGGTTTCCAATTTCTCTCCGAACTTGGCAGGTATGTGTTCTGATTTGGACTGTAGATCCCCGAACAAATCCTTCAGGCCACATGCTGGGGTTGTCCATCTCGAGTTGTCGAAGCTCTGAAAAGGACTGTTGTGGTCGGGGCCGGCCATCCACGATGCCATTTGCAGTGGAAGTTTGGAAGCTGTGAGGCTCGGTCGTTAACATGACACCGTTGACGTACTAATCAGCCAACTCAGAACCTAAAAGAAATGACATAAATCATATTAAATGTGAGCAGATGTTAGATTGTTGTTTCCAGCAGGCCTTAGGTCAGCTCATGTTTTTCTGATTGTTATACTTAAGAGATGTTGAGGGTGCGTGTTTGCTACTGAAATCTGAAGTTTGCTAGAGTTTGTTGCATTCATCCTGATGTATGCTCAGATTCAAACTTGATTGTTTGCCGATTCAAATCTCAAGATATTGCCTCATCGCTATTCTCAAATAAATTTGGCTAGGCTAATCCTAGACATTTCTACCTTTGCATAGCCGACATAGCCACGTCCAGATACCTATTGGACCATGATGCGGACCCACGCTCTGGTAGCACCTTTGGCGATGCGCAAGGGGCCACGGCCTTGTGGCAGGCACGGCCCACAATCGCCGCATTGGTTTGCGAAAAAAAGTTGAGTCCAAGGTTGCAACCAACAAAGATCTGCAAATGGTGGTGGGTTCCCCAAAATGAAAGCTATAAGATGCTATAAGCATCTATCAGTGGAACCAAATCAGTCAAATACAGCAACCAAAAAGACAATAGGCCCAGTGTGACCATGCCTGGCCCTGAAGTGAGGCGGCTTTCAATGGCTACAGCACCATTGCCACTTGGCTGTGACTTCTGTTCTTTGATATTCTTTGATAAAATGGGCGCAGCCTGAGGGATGGCAACGATTCAGGGAAACATAGGGAAAGTATACTTTTTTGTGTTGGGAAAAAATATAACGCATGATAAAGAGACATGTGAAGCCAACATGAAACCAACAAACCTTGCCAGAGTTGTCACTTGAGGTGGTGAAAGGGATGGCGGTTCTGATGGTCACTGGTAGCGAGCTGGAGGCTATAAGGCTATCTCTCATACATAATACAGTATATAACTTTATGTGTAATGCAAAATAATTAGAAGTAGAATAGTAATTAAAATTCTATGAATATAATATACATATAGTTATATATATATATATTCCCTGGCATGCTGGTTCAACATCCCATCCCAACCATCCCCACAAACGTCCATAGCTTCGACTTAGGCCGCTCTGTGTCGAGTTGACACCACGTGATTCCGACATATCAAAGCATATAAAAGTCCTTTTCAAAATGGGCATGTTCTAATGACATGGACCCTGAACTTGGTCTGATTTTCAATATTTGTTGCGGGAATCTGAACATCAACTAAGTAAATCGGAGACTTGGTCACCATTTAACGGCGGGCTATTTCTTGGGTGTTTTTTTTTTCGGATGTTTTTTTGTGCTTTCCAGCCTGGCTTTTGTGGCTTTTGTAGGTTTGTGGCTTTTGTGGCTTTACCATGCTTTTCCATGCTTCACCTATCTATCTATCTATCTATCTATCTATCTACCTACCTATCTATCTATCTATCTATCTATCTATCTATCTATCTATCTAATCCATCTATCTATCTATCTATCTATCTGTCTATCTGTCTATCTATCTATCTATCTATCCATCTATCCATCGATCGATCGATCGAATCTATCTATCGATCGATCGATCCATCCATCCATTCATCCATGCGTCCATCTATTGACCTATCTATCTATCTAATCAATCAAACAATCAATCAATCAATCAAGCAATCTATCTAGCTAGCTAGCTATCTATCTATCTAACTTTCTATACACACCTTCTATCCCTACATATACCTTAATCCAACCCTCAGCGTACTTTAAATAGACCCTAAACCAACCCTAAATCAACCTTAAATAAACCCTAAACCAACCGTGAATAAACCCTAAACCAAAACTAAATAAACCCTAAATAAACCCTAGACCAATCCTAAACGACCCTAAACCAACCCTAAACCAACTCTAAGTAAACCCTAAACCATCTAAAACTATGATAGCATCCAATGCCACTATTTAGACCTAACACGGTTGTGCTTCAACAATTGATGAACAATGCAAATGGCAAATTTTAGCTCCAAAATTCAGCAAAGTACTAGTTTTTGCTCCAAAACCTAGCAAATAGCCAGGAAAAGTGCCCCAGACTGAAAAACAAAAAACAAAAACATCTGCACCCGAATTTAATTTAATTATACCACCCCAAAACATAAGAAACCTGATTAACTTTTAAAAATGATCATGAACATGTGTATACCTATGTATGTATATGTATATATATATATTAGCGGGGAAAAAGAGAGAGAGAGAGAGATTTATGTAGGTAAGATTAAAAGAAAGTATTTGACCACCAAATTTAGTACCCCCAAAAAATCAATTAGGAAACTATTTGTTTGAAACTAAAGGTGTCGTTGCTGCTGGATCGCAGCGCCGCCTATGACATCGAGACCACGTCCCCTTGGCAGGAGCGTGTTCGAGTTGAGCCATGGGAGCGACACAGGGATGCCCCTTGAAGTGATGGGATCCAACACACATAATATGTGTAGATATGTGTGTATATATATATATACTTATGTATACACATATATACATAATTTATAGGCATGCACACACACACATATACATATATATATATATATATTTGTTACCATATGCATATTATTGTACATATATATATATTACCATAGGCATCTTATTGCACACATGCATTTGCATGTGTATTTATTGTATTCTAAATGTATATAGTGTATTTATTGTCAATTTTAGGTCTTGATGCATCCATTTAAGATATCTCAGTTCGGGCTTTCCAACCGCATCAACGTTCTAGACGAGGACCGGCCTGAGCATTTGTTGACGCCGCTGCACGTGGCTGCACGCATGGGACATGATCAGGTTGTGGAGGCACGGTGGCACGACAACCATGGGTAAAAAAACTATGGTGAAATGGGGATACAATGGGGTTAACTATGCATATATATATATATACATATGTGCATGTATACCATGGAAATAATGGGGGGCAAACGGATTGATAATGATTCAAAATTAATATATATATATATATATACATATTTCAATGTTTGTTTTTCATTGGTATAAGTAAGGTTTATGATAGTTATATCGAACTGGTCAATGGGTTTGTTCACCAACAAAAAAACTGGGGGGTCATCTCTACTTTTATGGCTACAACATGCTACAACCGTGGTGAAGTAATTCCAACCAAAAAGTTGGGATGTGACCCCTCTAACTACGGTGAAATCTCTCTGACTCTACTGAAATAATTGGAACCGCACTTGCAAGTGGAAGATGCACGTCCAAAACCTGCCAGAAAAAAATGACTTGGGAAAGTGGACAAGAGTGGAAAATGACCCATGTTCAGGTAGAAAATCGAGGCAAATAAGTGGAAATAACGCACTTGGCAATGGAAGGTTCTAAGATTCCTCAAAACCACCTGATTCAAAAGAACAAATAAATTTGTTTAACCCAGAAAATACATAAATTACGAAGAACATATGGACAAATCTTGGAGTTCGAGAGCTGGATATATTGGATTCTCCATGGGTTGCATCCACCTTTCGCGGTGGTTTTCCGGCCAGCCGGCCAGCCATGTTTGATGACCTCAGGGTATTGAGACGAAACGTATGGAAAAAAAATCGCATGGCAAGTCACCAGAGCCCATTCATTTGTTTGGATTCCGTGTCAGTTTTCCTGGGGTTGTTTGTGGGATTTTTGCGCGCCTGAAAGCCAACTGGTCTTTATCAAAAATTGGAAAACCCATGAATGTTTGCCACCCCCCACTAAGATATGCGGATTCCCAACCATTTTATCTATCTAGCTAGCTATCTATCTATCCATCGATCTATCTATAAATGTTTGTTTTTCTTGGCTCACTGGGACATTCTGGGACCTTGCTTCTGGAAGTGGATGAGGAACTTCCAGATGCAGAAGTCAAATGTTTTTGACGGTGGAACATGCTCATGGGGCGAGGAAGAACCCTTTGATGACTTTCTGGTTGATGGTTTTCACATGTTCTCACATTGAAACATATGAAATCATATGAATCTCACAAGAGTTAGCACGATGCATCCCATGTGCTCTGTCGATTCCTGCGCCACTTTGAGTGGTGCAGGTCTTGATCGAAACCGGAGCTCAATATGTGCCTCGCTTGGCCCGTGGCTCATGCGGGAAAACCATGGAAAATCCAGTCCCTTGCAGTAGAACCCAGGCTTCCTACCTTTTGGGAACCAGACATGGCTGGACAATGTGGGCAGCTTGGAAGGATTTTACCAGTAATCTATCTAATATCTTGTATAATATATTTTTATTATATCTATATAATACATATATATATATAATAAATATTATATTATATGAGATACAAATATTATATTATAATATACAATATTATTTATATTTGCCACTGGTTCAATCTTTTCCCTGTTTTTCCACATGTTTCCCGTGGCCCCCATTTCCTCCGTAGTCAGGACACGCGTCGCTTGCAGAGGGAGGGAGGTTCATCACCTTTGAGGGACGTGCCTAGGCCGCTTTAATGCGCGCCTCGATGATGCATTTCACCATCCATACTCCAATAACTATGGTTTATGGTAGATATATCGAACTATTTCCGATTGTTTTAAAAACCAACAAACATTAAACTTGGGGGCACAACCGAAAATATGAGGATGTTGTGGGTATAAAACCATGAAATATAACTGATAACCAATGATGATCTTGTGAAAGAGAGTGTTCAGATATTTTTTTGTTGAACCATACAAAACGGATGATTGGTTGAGATGACGGGTTTATATGTTTGGGATGGGCTAAGGTAAAACCAAAACCACTGAGTAATCTTTGAAGATTGTGATGCTGGAGGATCCAATGTGGGAAGTGATGTATCCGGCTGGCAATGCCCAACTGTTTCAAGGAGGGAATGGGTTTCAGGGATCACGTTGGAACATGTTGGAACCCCTCACCAAACTGGCTGCAAAACCAATAGTTTCCTATTTCTTCCCATATATATATATATATATATATGTATATATGTGTCCCTTATTAAATCAATCTATTGAATTACAATCATGACGGAATTCATTGGTGATTTGATGTGATTTTCCCAGCATGCTGGATCCTAAGGCCATCCAAAGATGTCACGTCGCGGTGGTGAAGCTCTTGGCTGCTTGGCATTGCCGGTGATGGCCTGTTCCGAGGAAACCAACCAGCTAAGCACTAAGCCATTTTTTAGGGAGGGTAATAGGGTATGTGAGATTAGCTGGCTATACTGTAGTAGATATTCTTCTTGTTTCTGTCTTTTGCAATTGGAACCAACCAGATACATGTCGTATTATCTAATATGTATGATACGCTCACTATGATTCGATTATATTTATTTAAAAAAATAGATTAGCCCATATCGGATCATCAGACTGACAAGGATCATTGCCCCATATTATCAACCATGTTCACATGCTAGATGTACCGTGCCTCTGCTGTTTGGAAATGCCTCGGTTATATTTCTGGTGTATTATATCGCGTTTAACAATGACCTTATTGTTGCACAACGATGTTCAAAGTATTGTTGTATATTCTTGTATTATGCCATCATTATTGAGGTTTCTCAATGTTTATCATCGTTTATCTTTGGCCCATTTTTTTCTGGTAAACCACCCTTTTAAAAGGTCATGGTGTTATTTTTTCCGAGAGATGATGATGTTCAGGTTTGAGTTCGGAGCTATGGGCAGCCATATTTATTCGCATATTCGCTAGGCATTTTGAGCCACATGATCGTTAGGCATATCGTTATATTATCTCCCACTATGATATATTGATTTATATATATATATTATAATATATATATATATTATAATATATATATATATTATAATATTATAATATAATATATATATATATATATATTATAATATTATATATATATTATAATATTATATATATTATGTAATATAAATATATTGGTTTGTTCCCATTATATAAAAAAAAATCCCAATTTATTCATATATATATATGAATATCCCATGATAGCCCATGATTCTAAAAGAATGCGAATGGTCGTGTTGATATTCGTGATTATCCCAATATCTTCCCATTCCGCTGTAGGTCAATCAACCGGACGGATAGTTGAATCCAAAGGAATCTTTTGCTCTATAGGAAAACAGAATGTTGTGTATCTACTAAACAGCTAACAGTTGAATCTGTTGTTTTTTTCAGATTGGCAATGTACAAAACCCATTTTTCCTATGGCGAATGGTGGTATGTTGATATATTTTCTGGTTGTCCCTACGCTCCGGCGCAGCAACGACCCCCAGGTCCAACGTGACGCCACAGTCGCTCGGTCTGTTCCGTTCGCTGCAACTGGTAGGTCTTAGGTATCTAAATAACGAACACTCGGTAACTTAAGGTGATACTGTGAATATCATGAACCAACATAATATATATATATATACAGTATATATTAACCATATATAACCAATATTCATGTATAATCTATCGGAGGTTAAACAAAAACAGAAGCAAACACCGTCATTTTTATTCTACTGATCCAGGGTGTGTGTGTGTCTTTGCATTCCACAGCCATTGGCCTCCAAAACCTGGTCAAAAATCGCTTGGTCTTCTCCAATGTCTTTCGCCATTTTGGGGCAAATACCATTTTCTTTTTGGATTTGGAAAAGTTGAAGTCCAGATTTTGCTACGGTTATGATTTGATAACTCCAATAACTATGGTTTATAATTGGTTTATGATACATATCACGATGTAGTTAACTGCAGTTTGCTGGGTTTATACATCAACACCCCCCAAAAAAATATGTTCCCGTTCGTTTTAGCCATTTGGCCTGATCACTTCCAGCATCCCCAGCACGTCACGTCCGTAGCCGCGCTTGCAGGTGCCACGCAAGGCCCTCTTTGAAATTAACAACGAGGTCGGCGCGCCATGTGCCAACACTTGCCGAGTGGGATGGCTCGGATGGCAAAAATGTTGACATGAAGAAACACAAGCTGTTGTTGTTCATGTTGTTCATTTTGTTCATGTTGTCCATTTTGTTCATTTTGCATTTCGCATAGCAATGTTGGGTTCAGCCCGCCAAAAGGATTCGGGCCAGGCAAGTAAGACAGAAATTCATGCATAAATTTCGGGAGGATCGCTGGATTATGGTTATGGATCCAAGCACCCTATGGATCCAGCCGTACTGTACCTTCTTAGGAAGTGGGACTGGGCTATGACTTTTTTTTCTTCGTACCTTCTCAGGAGGTGTTTGGATCCATAGGGGCAGTAAGAACATGACTGTTTCAATCTGGTGCAGCATGGTGCAGATACAGCAGCCTGGCCAGCTGCGGCGCGTATGGTTTTGACCTTGTGATTGTTCAAGGTTGTTCAGGTAGCTTAGTATACCATCAAAGTCAAATCTGTTTTTGAATGTCAATATTGATGTCAACGATTGTTGACATAAACATATCTTAACATATCTTAACACGGTGATACACAGTGATTAATTATACATAATCCTAAACTATCAACATAACTATCATGGCCCAATGGCATTAGTGCTACTCCGTTCTTTCCTTTCAAAAGATGATGCAGTGTTGTCACGTCAGTGTTTTCACTGTGACCTCACTGGAATGGTCAAGGGGAATCCCCATTGTGCGCCAAAAAAAATTGAGCTTAGTGAAATAGTACAATTTACCCATAGATATGCAAGATATACCATCATATACCTATATACACATGTATTTGCCCCATACATCGGCCAACTGCAACGCGCTTCGCGTCATCTCTTCGCGCCCAACGGCGCGGAAGACGCTGTCGCCATGGCGCCCGACGAGCCATGCGTCCAACACAGGCGCAAGATCGACCAGTTAATGCCAGTCACTTCAATGATGTTAATTGGTCCTGACACCCAAACATAAATCGGATTATCATCAGTGATATCAGTTCTATGGCGCTATGGGCTATAATATAACATGATATACAATATATATGATATAATATAACTGATGATATAATTATATATTTGTCAGTTATTTCAGTATGAGTATGGGTTATAATATGTTGTAAGCATAAACCATTTGCTAACTGGGATGCAGCTCCAGGCGCTTCAACCAAAAGAGGCGGCTGAGCTCTTGCAGAAACATGTCCTTTGGTGGCGAAGACCCAGGACCCCACTGCCCCACGGATGTTTTTCTTGGGAGGCTCAGGCAAAAACAAAAGGCCTGATACTTGGGATGAATCATTGCCTTAACCTCAATGCAAATGGGTCACGAATCAAAAAAAGGACCGTGCTTTTTTTTATGTTGTTCTAACATGTTCTGAGTCCTTTTGCAGCAATATCTTGGGGATGTTCTCCCATTGGGATGAGCATAGGGAACCCCACAGCTGGGCAGTCTTTATGATATGTTAAACAGCATCACCTGACTGGGACCCCATGTCTAAGGTCTTTAAGGGGTTCGCGGGGTTCCCCGTGCTTTCTTTGGATTAGTCTTTGTGGTGAGTCAAACTTAAGTACCTTTAGATGGTGAAGTGCATTTTCGGGCTGCGCATCTCGCTTTCCAACCATGTCCTAACTCCACTGGGCTGAGGCCAGATCAGCATCAAGCCATTCGACGTGGTGCTTGTTGTTCCGTGGCTGATGGGGGATGGGGCGGCACTGCAGTCAGACATGGCCGAAAACGATAGATTGCATGAGAAAACTATGGCACTTGCCATCCGTAAATGGATAGAAAACGATAGGAAGGATGGAATTGTTCATATTAGACTGAAATGGATAGAACGTGATATTAGACAAAATTGTTCAGTGCTATATGCAAGCACCATTTTGGACAGATGCCCTTCTCTCGAACCCAAGGGGGCAGGTTTGAAGGGGACTGGGGAAATCCCAGATCATCCAAACCAACCACCATCTCGAATTTGGTGATTTGGGTGTCCCTTATTTTCTGAGGGCACCCTAAACTCATAATGGTGTTCCCTTTATCTACTAGTGACTCAGTTTGGATGATTTAGGGGTCCCCGATCCTCGTTCACCCAAGCATTCTTGGGTTGGTAGTTATCTTTGTTTTTTTGTATTCAGCAATATCACTCTCATTCTATATTGGTAGGTAATATGTTCATATGTTTTATTGTGTTCATATACCCTTTGGCAATGGCAAGCTAATATATCTACAGTAAAATTGCCCGTTTGTGGATGATTGATGATTCATGATGATTAACCGATTAATCTATTACAAATGGTTTTCCAGATCGCTAACATGTAACAAATTACCGGTATATTCCGATACATGTCCACACTGGTGCGTAGGGAATGGGGAAATTACACAGTATCTTTTTTATAAACTATGAATTAGCATCCCATTCCCGCATTCCAGACGATATCAGTCCATTATAGCCCCTTGGTTTAAAGTCCGGCAGCAGCACCAGCTGATTGGTTGGTCGCTGTTGGCGAATAGTTCTTTTTCTTAATTACTAAAATGGTGATATCTTGGAGGGGTTATGGGGTAGTAGCCCCCTCCCGAGGCTCCTGGGGCGGTTTCACTTACCCTCTGGCTATTTAACATAGCCATGGAAAATGGCCCATTTATGATTTTCCCAGCTATAAACCTCCATGTATGAGGGATTTTCCATGGCTATGGCTATGTTAGTCATAACCAGATGGTAGCACAGGTTTCAGTTGCGCTTCGCGCAGCTGCAGAGCAACGTGGTGCATCACAATGTGGCCATCAGCGCGGCAGAGACGCATGGTGCGGTCGATTCGGTCGGCCTCCGGGGCCTCCGGGGTAGCCGAAAAGGGATGGGGCGTCATGGGGCGGATAGATCAGGGGGAACCATAAGAAACCATAGGAAAACCATAGGAAATCAATGGAAAATGGTGATTGAACCAACAGAAACGGTGGTTGGGATTCAACGAATATCAACGAATCATCCCCGAATAGCCGCAGGTTTCAGATGGCCCATTTATCGTTGTGCCTAATAAAACAGTGATGTTCCAGAGCTATATGTTGAATTATCAGAGGGTGATCAAAGAAGACATGACATCGTGGGACGAACTTGAGAACTTGGGAGTGCAGTTCAGGTTATGAATGAGTATCAACTTGGTTAGAAAAGCAATCAAATTGGGATATAATCGCAATAAGTATCAATAAGTATAAGTAACATTAAGTAACTATATGGTTGTATACCATGTTCATTTTATAGCTGGATCTACACCCCCGGGAGGAATGATGAAGTCGTCAAAACAGCCATGTATTTTTTTCGGCCCACTTGAAGATTGGATGGAAGCCATAGAGCCAGATGGAAGTCGTGACTCAGTGACTCAGCAACTCCGAAGGTGTTAGTCGTGAAGGAAGTAGCGCAATTAATACATGTTTCATCATGTTTCTACGCATAAAAAGCTTGTTTTGGTTGTTCGGGCTATGCAAAGACCTACATATTGCAGGACCTTAATCCTAAGCTGAGCCCGCAGATTGGCGCTTTCCAAGCCATTCACATTCCGTTCATCTCGTCAGCTTGTGGGACGCACCCCCAAGTATGACCTATGATTTTCTCCGACGGTGTTTTACGTCATTTCTATAACTGGTGTAAATGGTGATGTTTCATCTATCTATAACTGGATTGTGCTATATGGTTTCTAGCCATTTACTACCTTCCGGTAATTTAACAAAGCTGTGGTACCAGTTTTTCTAGATGATATGGATATATAGGTTATATACCTCCCTACTAAAAATAGTGGTGTTCTAGCACGGATTGCCCGGCCTAATTTTGCCTGGTGCATACTTGTGACCAGAAAAAGCTACGTGTATCTACCATTAGTTCATGAATCCATTCAGTTATTCCAGATGCTGGGTATCTATTAAATTGAATATTATAGATATTATAAGATTGTGGGAGTCAGATCAGCCAGTTCATGTATCTACACATATTGCTGATAGGACTATCTACCGATATCCACTGTCTATTATTAGTTCATATTATTCCACTTGAGCATCAAATAGAAGCAATGTTTTTTAACTATGGTTTCTAGCCACTGGGCCACTGCATCAGGAAACTTGGTCGCTGGCAGCTGGCCATGGCTCTGTTCCACGCCATTTCGGAGGTGGCTTTGTCTGCGAGCCTCGTAAGTTCCTGGTCCAAGGGTCTTCTGGTCGGAGCCGCTTCGGGACGTGGAAATTTAAGCAACAAATATGGTGGTTTCATCAACGATGATGGTGCTTTAACATGCTTTAAGAAGCGGCGATTGAACCAAGGAAGTTGGTGCTTTAACCAATGCTTTGACCGAGAGAAAGTGGTGGGAATATGGGGAATAGATCCGGTGAACATTCTGGGTCAAGCAGCAACTGGGATGATGGATGAATTTCATTGGGAAAGACCAAATTGCCAACACTGGAAGGATGTTTTTATTCTTTTAACCATGATATATATATAATTATATATTAATGGGTAAGATACTTAGGTAAACCATGGGTAAACCATAATGTCACCCATATATATATATATATGTATATATTTGTATGAATGGGTAAACCATCAACCATGGCTAGAATACTATGGTGAAATGGGGATACCAACCATGTCAGTTTTTGCTCTCCAGGTTGCTGGCCGATTTTTGGACCAACCTGGGGAACATGATGATCTCAGGCATCATTTAGCTGCTTTAGCTACGGTAGATTTTCCATAGCTAACCAGCTAACCGTAAGTGAATAAATGACTTAGTTCATCACCATGATCTCAGGCTATAACACTGCCATCAGCGCAAGTGACAAGTCTGGCCATTGGCCACTGGCTCAGTGGCTGCTTCGACACTTGCCGCAGCTTGGCTGGAGCTGGACGGGTTGAAAGCCTCTATGGATTGGTTGGGAAATTCGCAGGCAATTTCATGGGAAAATCCATTGTTTTCTCTAGTTTTTTTTAAAACCAAAATGCATTGTTTCTGGTTGGGATGATGATCCCCAATGGGCCATATATTTTTCCAACTTTTTTCGTATTGTTTCCGTCTTTGGACTGACGCTTCCAAGTACCGCCGCACATTGAACACATGCAGATACTGGCTCACAGGACTGGGCTACAGCCAGACTCCATCAGCTACTTCTGCAACATGAGGGCCGCGCGTTGGTGGGATGCGCTGAAGCTTTTTGAGGAGATGGTGAGATTGAGGTGGGGGTGATGAGCTCGGACTTGGAATCGCAATGGATTGGTCATTGGTCTAAGGATGATAAGGATGCTAAGGGCAAATCGAAGTACAGACAACCATGGATTTAGCAGCAAAACAAAGACAATTTGTTTGTCCAAATTGTGCTTCCACAACAAAACGGCTGGTTTCTATGGCCATGTGTCCTGGTAAGGTACACTCCTGAAATCCGAAATGGGTTGACGATGGCAATATTATTCACATCAAGCATCAACCAATAGAATAATTGATTTTACAAATTTCTTGAGATATCCTAGAAACAAACATACATACATACATACATATTTATATATATCCAGTATATATATATATACGTCGTATACCCATAATACAACATTGTTACATAGATTTCAGCTGTGTTTCCAGCTACACTGCCAGGGTGCAGCCAGATAGCAGCACCTTCAACAAAGCCTTGACGGCAGCGGGCGAAGCGGTGCTGTGGCAGCTTGGACTGGTCAGCTGGTGCGGTACAGAGATGTAAAATATGTCACGTATAGTAATCCCTCAAAAAGATTGTAGTGCTTAAATGTGCCACTATTTTGCACATTTATTTGGCGTTCCCTAACCTTTTGAGGGTGTGGCTAGCAATATACTATTATATCATGCTATATCTAAATTACTGAATTACTGATTTCGATAATGGTTCCCTCGTTTGGGTGAATACACATCACTTACCCAGCATATCTAAATCTTGCTGATCTTTCAGGGGTATCAACTTGCCCTTTGGATATCAGGTGCTGCTGGTGGCCACCTGAGCTCCCAACCTTGCGCTACCGAGGCAATGCACAATGAAACTTTTGAAGGAAACTCCAGTGGAGCAGGACGCCATCAGCAACTTGAAGGCGGATCAGCGATGGATTTCACTCAAATCACTCAATAATGTGGGCACCTTTTTTTTCAAGGGACACAAGTTGGACAGAGATTTTACTGTTATGAAATGTGCAGTATGATCGGTATGTGCGCACACAGTAATATACAGAAATGTCAGTTTTCAAAGTGACATTCTTTGGTCACCATTTCGAGGGCGAAGTAACACTTTAACCAGGGGATGCAGGTCAATTCCAATAGCCTAGTAACTATTTTTGTACAACATATGACACCAGCCAGTTTCGTTCCTCCATTCTGATAATAGGGCCCCTCCAAATCTCAAGGTTTATCGTACAGCGCAAAATATGAGAGTATCCGTCATTTTTGGGCAGACCAATGTTCATATCTCATTGGCTAGATCCTTATCTTTGAGGGACATATGCCCATTGTTGATTGCTAAATCCCAATTCTTCATTGTTCAATCCCTAGTTTCAATGGTAAAATCATCTTTTTGGTGGTGATATCCCAATTATTCACGGTAAGATTCTGCAAAACCCACAGTCCACATCTGTTCGCCTTTTTGCCGAGCGATTTGAATCCACATGTTTGATGGTTAAATCGTGTTAAATCGCACGTGCCGCATGTGTGATCAAATTCACATCATTTTGATCCATTTTGGCTGATCAAAATTACATAAAATTACATTGAAATTGAAGATGACCAAAAAAGCTACCATTTTGCACCGCTAAGGTATTGCCGTGGCCACCACTGCCTTCAGTCGCCGCAGTCGATGGCGTGAGGGGCTACAGCTGTGGAGCTCTGACAGCAACGAAGAGCAGCTGGGAGCCATGCTGAACGCCTGCGCGGAGGCCTGGGGGACTTGGTGGGTGCATCCCATTGAAAGTCTGGTTATATCATGTTATATCCAATAGACAATGGATTTGAGATGATCCAAGCATCAAACACATAGGGTCAACTTTGGGGATCATACAGACATGGTTTGTTATGCCAAAATTCTCCGAATCATGGAACTGTGGTTCTTCAACAGTTGTTGTTGATTGGTAAGTCAAGATTAGATTGGTTGCGCAAGGATTGTAATATAATTTTAATGGGCAAACCTTGGGAGACCCGGGGAACTACAGTATATGGGGGTTGTACTGGCAAAGGTGGTGGTTAAGGTTAAGGTAAAGAAATGGGGATTGACATTGTTGAGAGATTGGCATTTGACCAGAACATGTGATGATTCAACCACCAAAGAGGTTTTAAATTATCAAACGGGGAACATTGGGATTTCACCGTAGCAAGTGGATGATGAGTGGCATGTTTGTTTTTTCATCCAACGGGTGATGTATATCTTTGAGAATCCCATGCTGGCCGTGAGAGTACTTCAGTAGCTTGGTTCGGTGAAGCCACACTTGAAAAAAAACGCGAACTGTACAGAGATTTTGACTCAAAATGGAGGATGCCCAGACAATGAGAGTTTCCGACTTTGTTTAAAAAACATGTTCGCACATATTTGAATCATGCGACGGAATGTAGTGTCCAAGTTTGCGATAGCCACAGAACCTAGACGGGTGGATCGTTTGTCTTTGGGTTCAATATTGTCTCCATCAATCAGCAAGGCGATGTATAGGCGATGTTAACCATCACAGACATGGAACACGCTATCTGATGGGATCATCGCGTTGCTTTGAAAATAGGGCACCGCATTGGGCACCGCGTTGGGCACCGGTTGTTTCCCTCTACAAATTGCCATCTTGGCATACCGGGTTTACCATGGTTTACCGGGTATACCCAATTTTCAGAGACCCAAATCGCCAGCAACATGACTTCGAGTAGCACCACAAAATTTGTGGGATCCATTTGTGAGGCGGAGCAGTGGCGTTGGGGCCTCGAGGTCTTTGATTTGGTGCTGTTGCAGGTGGGATGGTGGGTGGAAACTGATATAGACTTAGATCACATTACCCATGGTTTTCCAAGAACAAAATCACTATAAATCACTTATGATGATAATATAAACTGGTATAAGATTATAAGTATATACTGTAGTTAGTTATATTTGCACAAACATATATATATATATGTATATATATATATATTGCAATGTTTTAAAAAGAACACGTATTTTCTTGGATTTATTACGATTTTAACTAAGAGGTTCGAAACCATCTATTTTTCTTCGATTTATTACGATTTTACAAAGAGGTTCTAAACTGTTATGTTTTGATATTCTTTGGTGAACCATGCCATGACCTTGTTGTTGTTTTGCTCAGGCCTTGGAACCGAATGCTTTCCACTGTAGTGCAGCTCTGCGAGCCCGTGGCACATGGCAAGGCGCGGGGAAGTGCCCCGGAGGCACCGAACATGATTAGCCATTAGCCATCATGAAACATGGATGGGATACACTACTTTTGTATACTTTTATGATTAACCACTACTAGTACAGTAAATTATAAACAACTTGTAAGTGAATATCAACCATTTATTATTAAATATTAACCATTATTGATCAATTATTAACCACTAGCAAAATGTTAGTAACAATTATCCACCTTTTTGTAACGATGATTGTGCATGGATGGGATACTTTTGGTGTGCGTATGTATTTGTTCTTTAGCTACGTGTAGTAAATGAGGCAGCGGATCGATCAAATAATAACCACCATGGATACCCTCTGGTGATCAAACATGGCACTTGGAAATCTCCTATGAATAGAGGTTTTAATGGGAAAATCAACAAAAAATATTGGGTTTTCCATTGCCATGTTTGATTACCAGAGAGTATCTACAATTGTTGTAAATGAATTTTTTCTCAACGTTTGGAGGGTTGAATGTTAAACATTCTTTTTGGAGGGTTGCCGGAGGTGATATGGGAAATCCCATGGAATCCCTTTCGTGGCTGGGGCGGAAAAACAGGGAATGTACCCTCTGGTAAACTAACGTAGCTATAGACTATAGAAAATCACCATTATTAATGGGTAAATCAACTATATAAATAGCAATGTTCAATAGCTATGTTAAATTACCGGAGGGTAATATGAATTTATGTTCCAGGTCATACCCATGGAAAGTTTATCATGATTATTCATTACTGTAATTTTAAGCGGCAATTTTACCACCTTTCAATTTATATAAGCACATAATGGATGGTATTATCCAGCTCGAGGAATGTCATGTGTCCGTTTGCTGCGGCTTCATTACCTTTCCATCATTACATAGTAATCCATTAACAATGACTATCGATTTATTCCCGTATAACTATGACTGTCCAAATAAATAATGGTAATGTCGTTTTACAGGGAACCTCGGGTAAAAAGCCGCGACTTTTTTCACCTTTGGCACTTGTCAGGTGCCTTGGGCTTCTTCCGTGGCAATTTGCTCCTCGGGGTCTCGCAGATGCTCGCCCGGATTGAAGAACCACTGCTGTATGGTAAGTAAACCCCAGATAGATAGAAAAGTAATTTATCATTAGTTTAGTGGGAGTTTGTTTTTCTATCTTTTTTAGGGGTTGCTGCAGATAACTGACTGAGGTATCTATCCCGGATATGACTAGCCAATAGCATGGGTCTTACCCACTTGAACAAATGGTTTAGTTTAGTAACCACGGTATCCATTTATACATATTACTGTAAGTCATGAATTGGGGACTTGCAATCACCAGGGTCAGTAACCAGTATCCTTCAAGCAGTGCCCAGAAATGACAGATCATGTGGCACATGGAACATGACCCCCAAAAAACAGCATGCCAAGTGCGTGGTTGCAAGTTCTTCAGACAACTTCCAGATGTTGCGAAAACTGATGTTCACCACAGCTCGGACAATGATCGAAATCAAAGATGATAGATCTGGATGGATCCAGAATCATCCAGAAGCACGCAACAATGGGAAGGGTGAAGTTGGCTGATTTCCCCAACTTCAAGGTAACCATTAATATCCATTATATAATCCTCCTAAATGCCTCCATTGAACAATGCATAAATTATGGATGTGATGGATAAATGGTGAAAAGTCCAGCTTCAGCTCTAGTTTTGTCCGGTTTCTTGATGGTTCCCCACTTAGGAACGTCTTCAGCTGCAGCTCCTTACTGGATGCATGCGCCAGTGGCTGCAGCGCGTGGCAAAACGCAGTGGATGAACTGGGATGGATGTGCCATGCTCAGGTTTTGTCAGAGTTGCTCCGACCATGTCACAGGGATATCAAGAGGATATTTAGCAATTCCCCAAAAGATAGACCAGTAAAATTCCATTAAGTAAATTCCTGTTCTATTTTTTGGGGGCTACTATAATGAGACAGAATATTATATAATTGGACTATCATGGAATTTACCCATGATGATGGGGATATATAATGGGTCGCTCCAGCTGTTTTTGTAGGTCAATATTTGCCACAAACGTTGAAATTGTTGACTTTACCTTTATACTGAGCCAATTGTCTTCACTTGTAATTATTTGGGTTTTGGGAGCAACCCTGTTAGATGTGATAGGCGCACGGACTGAAAGATAGCAAGATATATACATTCTTGAATATCATATGGGTTTGTCTGAGCATATCCCCAGAACTGTAGCTAAATCCCACATTCCCCTATGTTTATTCCGGCTAAATCTCTATGTTTGATGCTTAAATTCCAACTGTCCAACAGTTTTATATAGATTAAATATGTTTGATGGTCAAAATCTTCACTTTTCCAACAGTTTTGAATAGATTACCGGTAACTATAGCAAACTCCCCAATTTCCCTGGTGATTCCCACGTTTTCTTGGCGCCTTCTTGGAACGCCTGGAACGCGCGAGGCTCCGCGTTGGCATCTGGGACTCCTTCGTGGCGGATCTGCACGTGGCCAGCTGGAAATGCTGCGACTGGACGTGGGCCTTGGAGGTGAGAGCCACCAGCTATGTTGGTTTATAAACTGAACGGGATGTACATGCATGTATTAATTTCAATATATTAAAATCAATATATTAATAAAATATATGTATATATATATACAAAGATAATAGATAGATAGATAGATAGATAGATAGATAGACAGATAGATAGATAGATAGACAGATAGATAGATAGATAGATGGATGGATAGGATAGATAGGATAGATAGATAGATGGATAGATAGATGGATAGATGGATAGATG